CCTTCAGCAAGAGCTAAGTCCAGCAGTGTTAGCTGGGATGGCAGTTCTTATGTTTGTTAGACCAATAAATGTTTTAGTTGCAACTAGAGTGAAAAAGCTCAAGGTAAGAGAATGATTGTCTTGTGTAACATGTGTCAAACAGAAACTGAGTTTTCTAACTTCAGTCGATAATAACCATCTAGCTAATTCTCTATATATTGAAAATAGAGGTTAGACATGGAAATAATCCAAATGTATCATTTGTTTATTAAACCAGTATTGACTGGGCTTCTGTCCCGTGCCAGTAACTCTGCCACACACAGTGAGGAGAGCAGACAAGTTGCAGCTCTCGCTGGGCTATGGGGGAGACAGGTATTAAACAAGGAAATAAACAGATATATAACATAATGCCTGGTGTTAATTTGTGTATGAAGAAAAATAAATTTGGATTGGGTGATAAGAGTACAAAGGGTACTGTTTTCCATACAGGGACAGAAAAGACCTTGGGAAGGATCTGATATATTAGTGGGGCAAGGGAGACATGTGGATGTCTGAGAACAATATATGAAGCAAAGGGAGCAGTGTACAAACTGCCTAGCAGTAGGAGTATGCCTGGTTTGCCTGAAGAATGACACGAGGTGTGTGGGCTAAAGTGAGCAAGGAGTGGCTGCATGCAACAAAATGAACAGTAAATGCTTAATTAAATTAATTTTAATATTCTTTCTTTACATTCAATCAATCTTGCTATTAATATATTTTTTGACATCTGCAATGTGCCAGACAGTGTGCATTATGCTGTATTATAGGAATGAAGAAGCAGGATATAGTTTTCTGTGCTCAAGAACATCACACTTAATGGGAGAGGTAGATGGTTTCACATGGTAAAGTAACATACATAGATCAGATGTATCGCTTATGACTTTTTTTTAATTCTTTTAAATGGATCAAAGATTAATAATACTATGTACTGACATGGAAATGTGTCAATTATATATTAGAGGAAAAAATGAAGAAACACATGTACATATACATGTATGTATGTAAATAAAGAAGCACATATGTATGTATGTATGAGGTGTTATCAAAA